CGTTCCGTTGGAGCTCGTTTCTTGATAAAAAAAAACACTGCGAACCACCTATTTTGTGTTGGGTGGTGTTGTTGGACAGTCTTACGCACTGGTCAGTCGACCCTCGGCGCGTTTGTTTACCCAAGGTGGTGCCAGAAGTGAGAAGTGGCAGTGCCATCCGGTGGGCCACCTGTACAAGTACAGTACCTGACTGCATGTCTCCATTCGCTGCTGTTGTGCGCTACTTCCTCCATCCCGGATTAAGGGGGTGTTTGGGACTGCTCCACAAACTCTGCTCCACAAACTCCACCGTGGAGCAGCTCCACAAAAAAATGGAGTTTGTGGAGTACCTCTTTAGGTGCTCTCACAACTCCACCATTTTTCCTGGAGCAGAGTGCGTGGAGCTAAAACCGTTTGGCTAAAAAACGTGGAGCAGAGCTGAAAAACGTGGAGCGGAGCAGTCCCAAACACGCTCTAAACGTACTTCTACGTTTTAAATTTTTTCTCATAATAAGCTGCCAGCTGACTAGAAGCGTGAGTAGTAGAGCGCGTGAGGCGCGGGGAAGGAGAGCCACACTGGACTATGGAGACAGCGGCGTGCAGTAAATGCTGGTATCTACGCGCACGCAGCTGGTAGCGTAGGGCTAGCGCCGAGCCCAGCCATCACGTCGGGCGGACGTGACGCGAGTGTGAGTTGCGTCGCGTCGCCCTGCCCCTCCCTGCGTGCCCCGGCGCATCATTGCATCGCCATGCGCCAGCGCCGCCCTCCCGAGGCGCGCGCTCATCGGCGTCGCCTGGCATGGCACCTGCGGCCTGCGGCGCGGTCGTGTCGGGGCACCACCGGCCCACGGCCACCAGCGCCAATGCTAGTGCTAGGCTACGCTAGCTACTCCTCCTCGCCTCGTGTAGCGCGAGCGAGCAGCAGGTAGCGCGCGTTCAGGATGGCGTCAGCCGCGGCAGGCAGGCATCGCCGCATCGGCCGTCGGGGGCGAACGTCACGCGCGCCAGTTTTTGTCCCTCTGATGCACCTGCCCCTGCAGTGTCAGGCACCGAGGAGCAGGGAGGACGGGGCGCCAGACTGCCGACTGCGGAAGCCAAGAGCGTCGAGATATACTGTACGGGTACGATCTAGGGCCAGTTTGATGTCAAAATTTTTGGCAAAACGTTAATGTAGCGTTTTCGTTGTTATTTAGCAATTAGTGTTCAATCATAGTCTAATTAGATTTAAAAGATTCGTCTCGTGAATTTCGTCTAAACTGTGTAATTAGTTTTATTTTTTTATTTATATTTAATGCTTCATGCATGCGTCCAAAGATTCGATGTGAGGAGAAATCTTGAAAAAAAATTGTCATTTTGGGGTGTAACTAAACAGGACCCTAGCCATTCTTATTCACTGCGTGTTCGATTAGAGTACCGTTGGCTGATTTGTTGTGGGAGAAAAATATTGTTAGTTGGTTAAAAAAATACGACAAACGTACTACTGCTACTATATACCACTTGCATGACACACATCGAGGCTGCTCCGCTGGTGTCCTCTTTTGCTCTCTAAAGTTTGGCACGTGACCACGCGTCAGCGGCACTGCACCAGGGCCTCCGTCCCTCTCTCACAGTGACACGCACACTCGCTCTCTTCTCTTCTCTTCTCATCTGCTATACTCAGTGGCCGATCCAAAGGAGGGGCTGGAGAGCCTCCTAATGTTTTGATTTCAAGCCTAATCACTGTAGCAAAAGTTTGATTTCACCATTAAATCTTCATGCAAATCAACATCTCCATTGTTTTAGCCTCCTCTTATCCCGCATCGTGCATCCACCATACTCGTATATGTGAACCCAGCCCCTGGACAGACACCCACGTACATACACGAACATGCTAACAATGCTCGAACCCTGGTGGATGACGTGGGTGGCCGTTGCTCACATGGACACATCCATGCTCACAACATTAATTTTGGAACATGTATCAGAACTGACCACAACGCGACCGTCCTCAATGAAACTTTTTCTGTTTAGCCAGCATCGAGGCATCAACATGACTCGCAGATTTGATTTGGTGAATGATGAAGGCCCTGAGTAGGGATGGTGAGTTAGCGATAGACTTGAGCAAATTGAGCTTGGCCTGGCCCGGCCCAGCTCGAGCCAATCAGATTTTGACCCACCCACGAGCCTTAATTATTAGTGGACATGGACTGAACAGAGGTTGAGCTGCCTAGAACATTTTTCATGGCCTAAGCCCGGCTTGAAGTATTCCTTTTATTTGTTTTCCAACTACAAAACAGTGATTGGCCCGCCCAGGCCCGGGCCCGGCCTGAAAAATGCCAGCCCGACTCATCCATGGAGAATTGGAGATGATCGTGGGTGTGAATTTTTAGCTTGAAATAACACGTTTTTTTTTCCAATCGACCTAGCCAAAAAAATGCTCTAAGGCGATAATAATACGATGCCACACTAGATTGGAATGCCGAGAGAGGGGAGAGCTTGGAGCTGTAGGGAAGAAAGAAGGGGAGCACGTAGATGGAGCGCTACAGTCTAGAGACTAATATGTGGGCTAGTTGGACCTTATGTAGACCTAGATGAAGCAATGAGACAAGTTGAGGATCTATTTTTTTTTTCTTTGAGAGTTTTGGACCTAAATGACACCTCAAGACAAATTCGGATATATAAAAGTGCATTTTAAGGGTTTAGGGAGCTACGTGACACCATAACCACCAATCATGCATTTTAACTCTTACCTACTAAACATCTTACTCTTTTGGTTTTTATAAGACTTGGTGTACTTAGCAGTAGTGCGTGGTATAAATTATATATGCAAAGCTACTCAAGACTGTAGTTTACTCCGGCGTGATTGGTTGCGGAGCGAGCCTTGAGCCAAGATGGTCACGCTGTGCAGGACCGAAGAAGTCGGGTTGAGCTTGTGCAGGTGGTCGTGTTTGGTTGTCTTGGCTGTTGGTTCAGTACGAGACGGAGTTGTGTTTGGTTGTACGCATGCATTAGTTTTTTGGGTGTATGACGCATGGGTCCCTGCATCCTAGGTGAATCAAGTCATCCTGCACCATGAGAGAAGGAAAAATCCAGAAGACGGAGCCATGCGGGATAGAAGAGAGAATCTGCATGAGAGGAAGCAAAAAAAAAATACGAATAGAGCAATCAAACACAGACAAATGCACAAAGATGTGGGATGGCCAAATAACCATTGGCAACCAATCGCGCCCGTAGAGGATAAAAGGCCATAGTACTATCGTCCATCGTCCTGGAGTATGTGGCAGCGCAGTAGCTTTGATTCTTCCTTTTTGTTTGCACATGAGTAGGACTGGACTGTAGGCGTGGCATGAACCGGCCGGCAGGCAGGCGCCAGCTTTGTTGAAGAACTTGAACCAAGGCTGTCCTGTGAACTGTGACGTGTGATCCCTCCCTCTCTCTCTCTCGTCGCAAACACACGTCAGAGCAAGCAAAAGATGCTGTTGGTCATCAATTCGCTTTCCAAACTGATCTGTACTGGATCCGCGCGCAGGATCTCCACTCCACCCCAGTGCGGGTGCAGCCAAGCCAGTGAGTGAGGCAGGCAGTGCCCTCTTCAAGTCTTCAGTCTCATGATCCTGATCCACTGCCCCACACAACACACAATCTCTCTGCTTTAGCGCCCTTTTCCCGGAACAAACAAACAAAGGGCTCGTTTAGATTCTAAATTTTTTCACTCTCTTTTTATCACATCAAATCTTTAAATATATGCATGGAGTATTAAATATAGATAAAAAAAATAATTAATTACACAGTTTGATGGTAAATTACGAGACAAATCTTTTGAGCCTAATTAGACCATGATTTGATAATAATTGTCAAATACAAACGAAAATGCTACAGTGTCAAATACTGATTCTTAACCCTTATCTAAACAAGCCCAAAGCAACTACGGCAGCCATCTTGTCAAGCCTTAACTGTATATACTGTACGAATTGAATTCAAACCACCCGAAACTTACCCCACCGTTCCTCCAGTTTTTTTTTACCCGCACGCAGCAGTACAGAGACCTCCGGAACTCCGGTTGATGATGGCCAAATAAGTTTGAGACTTAAGCCCTTGTTTAGTTGCTACCCAAATTCCAAAAAAAGTAGGCTTGTGGTTATTTCGGGTCTCTACCCAATGCATTTGGAGTATTAAATGTAGACGAAAAGAAAAACTAATTGCACAGTTTGGTGGGAAATTACGAGACGAACGTTTTAAGCCTAATTAGTCAATGTTTGGACACTATTTGCCAAATAAAAACGAAGGTGCTACAGTAGACCCAAAATCCAAATTTCGCGAACTAAACAAGGGCTAAATATTTTTTTCTTGTGTCGTTATTTGGGTCTCTACCCAACTGACAGTAAAACTTAGCACTAATCTTTATTCAGCCCGTTCGTTTATTGGTTTCAGCCAGGGCTTATCAGCCAGCCAATGATGTTTCTCTCACAACAAACCAACACCAGCCGGATTTATCAGCCCATAAACCAACCAGCGAATAGGCCGTTAGTCAAATCCTAACTTTTGACGTTTTTTACTTAGCCTTGTTTAGATTGCAAGTTTTTTCACACTCTCTCCATCACATCAAATCTTTGACACATGCATGGAGTATTAAATGTAGATAAAAAAATAACTAATTACACAGTTTGATTGTAAATTACGAAACGAATCTTTTGAGCCTAGTTAGACTATGATTAGACAATAATTGTCAAATACAAACGAAAATGCTACAGTACCAAATACTGATTCCTAACTCCAATCTAAATAAGGCCTTATCACGATGATGAAATCTAGTAGAAAGCAAATTCTGGGAGCAAACCAAGTGGGCCCGAGAGCTCTCATCTATAAGTACTACCTTGATGGCCCTCCACATATCTTGGTCGTCCCAGAAGCACAAGCCTGGTGCTCTCACGTCACACTCCACTCCAGAGTCCAGACACCGCTGCTAGTTCCTAAGACTGTCCGTGAGTCCGTCCCTCTGGTTATACACCGCGGTTCCTGGTCGTCCCAGTCCCAGCCCAGCCATGGCCCGGTCGTTCATGCTGTGCTTGGCGGCGGCGTGCTGCTGCTGCCTTGCGCTGCTTCCGCCGCCGGTGCAGGGCCGCCGTCCTGGTATGCACGATCCAGCAATGGCCGAGCTTACTACATGCCAACATTTTTATTAGTTCTCGTCTCTCTGAATACCTCCCGTCATCCATTCCCTCTCGCTTAATTTGCTTTGCCATTCTGATCTTCATGTACCTGATGCGTGCAATGCAATGCGCTTCGTATGTTCCTGACTTCTTGTAGTTGTAGCATGCATGGTTCATGCTTGAGAGCCCTCCAGCTTCGTTTTCATCTTTCTTTGCGCTCTTTTTTTTTCAGGCCTGCAGGCAGCCGGTGGACTAGGCGGCCGCAGGCTTCATCTGCTGCCTGTGCCTGTTCCAGAGCCACACTTTGATGCCATGGAGGTATCACTGTTACTCACACATTCTATTGTTTTTCCCCCTTTTTATATATATAAAATATACATACGGACTAGTACTGTATTGTGCTCGTCTAGCGTTTCGCTACATATAGCTTTGCTGATGCGTGTTGTTGTGCCACTGACTATCGGCCGGCGAAGGAGCAGCAGCGCGCCGTGCCGGTGAAGGCGAGGCCGGCATGGTCACCGGCGGCGTGGAGCGTGAGGCCGGAGCTGCGGGCCGTGCCCGGGGGCCCGGACCCGCTGCACCACCACGGCGGCAGCCCCAGCAGGCGGCCGGAGCAGGACCGCGCCCCGTCCCCGTGACCCACCGCCGGCATGGCTATCGAGTAGTGAGGCTGCGCATGGCATGGCTGAGGGCGTTTTGGTATACTCAATGCGGTTATGTACGTATATTATGTACAAACACGGTGCTTAGTTTCGTCCCCTGTGGAAGCGCAACTGTGTCACTGTGAAAATTAATGTCTGGATTTCATCATCTGCTTATGAAACGTACCTTCCCCTGCAAAATGCAAAACATAACCATTGGGCATTAGTCCATTACTGTACTAAAATTCCGCGGAATCATGCATGTCCACCGACAGCACACGCAAATTATGTGTACGGAACTTGTCCAGAGTACACAGCAGGCACGTAGCAAACCTCGCACAACTTCACAAGCAGTCAAGACTGACAGCCCGTTTGGAACGTGAAACTTTTTTTTTTTTCTGTACCTGTGTTTTCATATAAAATTAAACTGATTTCTATAAAATTTTGTATTATTATTACTACTACGAAATTTTTATGTTTCAAACGGGCCATTAAGAAAAAAAAAAAAGCACCCAACGCACTGGCGGCGAGTGTCCTAGCATGTGGGCTGCTGAATTTGGTGGTCCTATGTGGAGAGTATTCCGGCAATGGGCTGGTGAACATATCTAGATCGATCAGAAGAACATAATTTGGATGGAAATAACGAATACGCATGTATATACTTGATATACACACATCTTTTCTAAAAAATAATATACAAGCATGTATATATCCAGGAATCAATGTCTATACCAACCGATACTAGCCATACCACCGGTATAGGCTAAATATTCGAGCAACACCTCATTTAGTGTGAAATGTTGTAAACTTGTTGAACTATATCGTAAGTTATTTTAAAATATTTATATGTGTATTTTTTTCTTCTTCTAAACTTATATGTAAATATATCATACATAACTATTTTTATGTAGCTATATTTATATATGGTATTGTTTAATAAAAATAAAACTATAGTCACAAATAATGCTAATATTTTGTTTATATCTAAACATTTTAAAAAATCATGCTTCAAGTATACTTCCTTTGTCCTAGAATATAGTGCATTATTATGACTTCCAAAATTTATACTAAAATATAAGGTATTTTATGTGGTGTCCATGTTTAGATTTGGCTAATAAGTTTGGTAAAAAAAGAAAACCATAATTTAAGAAGGAACTCTCTAGCTGGGTCAAATCCATGGGCACATGCATCATTTGAATACTCTCTTTAAGTTGTCTTAAATTTTTTTGGAATGCATTATATTACGGACTGAGGGAGTAAATTTTCAAAAAAAAAATCAGTGAAATTTGGACCGATGATCTTTTGGTAATTTCAGGTTGGCGAAATTCGAATACCAAAATTGAAAAGCTAGTAGAGGGAGGCGAAGGACGAGCAACGGGAGCGGCTTGGGCTCTCCTCTTTGCATGCATCCCTATAATTTTGGCTTGACATTACCAAACCTTGCCAATGTCTGATGTTTGCTTGTCAAATTTTTGTCCCAACTTTTGGTAACTTTCGCTTGCTTGCCAAATCTTTGTCTAGTCAAATTCGGTAGCAAAACCAATCGGTCGGGCCCACACTCTCGGCATGGCATCTGTATATATCCCAGGAGCACAAGTCTGAAGCTCGATGCTTTTGGCTCGTCGTCGTCCAAGCCCAGCCATGGCCCGGTTCTCGCTGTGCTTGGCGGCGGCGTGCTGCTGCTGCCTTGCGCTGCTCCTGCCGCCGGTGCAGGGCCGCCCTGGCCCTGCACCGGCAGCGATCACAATCTCCTGTTCCCGGAGCCACACTTTGATGCAGCAGAGGTATCACGGCTACTTTCACGTTCTATTGTTTTTTCATGTATAAATAAAATATATATACATACCTTTTTTTTCTACGAGAAGAAATTAAGCTTCTGCGACTGTGATCTCTGCATGTGGTGGTGCAACTGACTACTGTCAGCCGACGGAGCAGCAGGGCAGCATGTCGGTAAAGGCGACGCCGTCGTGGTCACCGCCGCCGCCGCCGACGGCAGGGGGCGTCGTCACGCCGGAGCTGCGGTGGGTGCCTGGAGGCGCGAACCCGTTGCACAACCACGGCAGTACCACCAGGCAGGATGAGGAACGCACCCCACCGGCGGCAGCGGCGGCTGTGGAGGGGAGCGTCGCCAGGCCGGAGATGCGGACTAGAGACCACGGAAGCACCCCACCCCGTCCCCGTGACCCGGCGGGCGGACCGCAGAGGATCTGATCTGGCTCGCCTTGTGCCTCGTCAGCCATGTTCAGCTAGCATCGTAGTTTGAGGGCACATTTTGGATCGTGCACTATGGAATTGCAGTGGTCACCGAAACTGTTTAAACGTGCGTCATGCTTCATGTACGATACCTGTTTCATCCAGTTCTGCAACGTAGAATTGCAATTTGTTACTGAAACGGTTTAGATTTAGATTTCTGCAATAACATAGCTCCCCTGCATATGCTCAGGGAAGAAAAAAAAGGGCACAAAATTCAACACGTAACCATTGCTGCATTTCAATTCATAGAACAGAATGAAGTCGTCACTAAAATTCTGCAGAATCATCCACCAACAGCACGCAAATTATTTGTACGCAGCCCCAGAGGCTTGCTGCATATATACAGCTACAGCCCCGCATTTCAACAACAGAGCGTTAAACACTACCGCTTGCTGCATATACAGCTACAGCCCCGCATTTCAACAACTGGGCGTTAAACACTACCAGGTCATAAGTTAAGAGTGAAAAAAAAGTTCTGCAATCCAAAGTATGTACAGGAAAGCAGTCACAACATGCTTATGAGGGCGCTGATTCTGCCCCATCATGGAGAGCGCAGCACACGGTGGCCTTGTGATGACCCTGGTACACCCTGATGGCCTCTCCGGTTGACATCGTCCATAGCCTCGCTGTGGTGTCTGAAGAAGCTGCAAGAGAGAACAGACCGGTTAACTGTGCAACTGATGAATCATCGGGGAAGGCAGAGGGCAACACGGTGTAGTTCATACCTGTTATCAGATAAGCACCATCGACCGAGAATACACAGTCCCAAACCCAGCGCTGATGGCCTAAGAAGTTGATTGCCAGTGATGTTTCAGGATCTCATTCGGAAACATAAGATGAGTATGAGATGGAGAATTGTTAAAAGAAGACTCCAAACATTACCGACTAAAGTTCTTTCCAACTTGAAGCCATCAACATTCCAAATCTTTACAGTGTGGTCAGATGATGCTGTGGCAAGATACCTGCAAACAAACCCAAGAATGTCACATGGAACCCAAGAGGACACAATAATACACTGGAAGAACCATGAAAAATAGCCTTTTAGACCATTATTACATTACCTGTTAGGATCGCAAAATTCTGGTGAAAGCAGGCACTTCAGAATGTAGCCATCATGGGCTTGCAGTTTGTGCAGAGGTTCAAAGCAGGTAATTGTCTACATAACAGAATTTGAAAAATTCAGAAATCACAAACTCTATATTTATACGGTTATTTGCAGAACAGACTGACCTGAGTACCCTTAAGCAGGCGCCAAACGTAACATGTCCCACGGTTATTTGCAGCAACCACCATACTCCCATCCCACATGACTGTCAGAGATCTTACAGCAGTATCAACCTCCGGTACCTAAATAATTGGAACCAACAGATCAATTGTTTTCTTGCATTACCCTTTCCACAGAAGTACCATAATACTGGAATATGAGTATGTGACTCACCAACTCACAGCTGCATGAGTTAGCGGCCAAATCCCACACACGTATGTTTCCATTCTGATCACCAGATATTAGCTCTTTCTGAAAGAAAAAAAAACATACAATGTTTTGAAATTTGGTGGAAAGAAACAAAAATAAGTAACAGAGGAGAATAGCCAAAACAAAAACTATCTGACTCAACCATCCAAGTTAAGAATACTCACTATTTAATCAGTACAAGAAAACAAAGTTCCACAGGAAATTTGAGAAACAAAGAGAGTGAGACATAGGCCAAGCCATCTCTGCAGTTTGAGACGAAGGCTAGCCATATGAAAGTTCAGTTCACTCTCTCAAGTTGATTTCAACTAGGGTATCACAATAAATGAAACCTATAAATTCACAGCTACATGCAGTCAAATTGTGTTTTGTCAGCATTTTTGCATTACAGAGTTGGCAAGGGATACAATCAATGCCAAGCAATCACCTAAAAACAGTATGGAAGTAATGAACAGAAGTATCTAACCAACAAGTTTATAACCCAAATGTAGCTTAATCAGTGTTGTACTTGGATGAAGATATTTGCAATCCATTACCACTTAAGATCATACAGATAAAAAAAATGAAAATAATGATTCTAACCTGATTTGGGTGTAGAACTACAGTGTTGACAGCGGCACGACTTTCATATTCTCGTTGGCAAGTGCCAGTCCTGAAACCATACACACACAAATAACAAAAATAAATATCAAAGGCATAAGATGATTTATAGCTCAGAAAATTAGTATGGTCCAGACTGTACAAAATTAAAAAGCTAATATCTAATTCACATCACACCATCTAGTACACTACCAGACAAACTCATGAAGGAAGTTACATGAGATTTGGAGGATTCAGATAGTCAGATTCTGATCAAATTGGTGTGGTGGCATTCTTCACGGATGCTATCGATTTGTGAGTCAGTTAATTTCAAAATGTTCATATGTTTGCCCTTTTAAGTTTCCCTAAAGTTTAATCCAGTTAAAGTAAACCTGACGCGCCATATTGTGCGTATGCATGATAGCACCTGGAAATTGATCTGCACTGTTTTTTGTAACCGAAAATACAGTAGGGGTGGCCCCCAATATAAAGTTTTATTAAAATAAGGAGAAGCTCAACATCTGTTTGAGAAACACCAGGAAGAGAAACTGTACAAGAGCAGAAAGGAGGAGGGGGGGTTCCAAGGTGGACCAGAGAGCTATAACAACCCAAGGGGGGAGAAAGCCAACAACACTAGACTATGGAAATTGATCTGCACTGGATTGTCCCCTAGTGAAGGACATTTTTTAAAGTTTTCACTAGAACTGCAGGTAAAGTAAATAGGCTTACAACTTAAGAAATGATACAAGATATTAGGTTTGAAAAGCTCACCGTAAATCCCAGATTCTAACAGTACCATCTTCAGAACCTGAGTACATCCAGTTACCATCACAATGGAATCCCACAGCCATCACATTGCTAGTATGTGAATCATAGCTAATTACCTGCTAGGTGTATTCTCATCAAATAAGGAAAAGGAACTTGAGGACTCATAGGGATTGATGTTGAAAACATGTATTCGTACCGGTTGAGGGCTATTTGAGTTGACGTCAAAAAGGCGGATATGAGGATTGCCAGCGGCAGCTAAGAACCGCTTGTCAAGGGTTATCTCAAGGCGATTAACTTGCTGCAGTCAACATGTTACAGCAGCGAAAAGGTATGTAAGATTGTTTTTAAACTAGATAGCTCTGATGCTGACGGTGAAGTATACCAATAGCAATTACTTACAGAGTCTGGATATTGAATAGTGCGGTAACAGCGGCCGCTCTTGGCTTCCCAAAATCTGATTGTGTGATCATAACTTGCAGTTGCTAGAATGACAGAAGGTTGAGCCATTTAGCAGCATTAGCCTGTGCATACATCAGCACATGCTCTAAGAATGATGAAAATAGACACGGATAAAAGATGGCATTATATATATGGTAACAAATGAATAGGCTTTGGCGTTACAATTTACAAAGAATCCATTTATCCTAAGATTGAACATTTATTCCTATCCTTACTTATAAACTCAATCAACCACTAAATTGGTACATGATTTTTCTTTCTACCAAATTACATATGGATAAAGCACCACGATGTAGGTAACCTGCTGATCCTCAAAGCTAAGTCTGTCTTCAGGGGTGGGTCTACCATTTTGAGGTTGGGTATTCAAAATGTGAGGGCTGTTTTTTTACAGTCTAAAGTCTATATTTAGCATGTATAATACCACATAATAGTAACTGTGTAACATATAGCAGCTATAACACATACTTGAGCACACATGTTCATAGAACTGAGCTAAAAATTAGTAGTACCACTTCTTTCGTCTTTATATTTGAGACCTCAAATCGAACCAGTGATCTAAAATCAGGAAATCACATTCAAGTAATGCTCACTGCCATAATGTGGTAGTTCCATTATTTCACATAATACAACGAAATGTAAGGCCAATTAACCAAATTAACTTACAAATTGGATTCCCAGTTGATGGCTTGCTGAAGATTGCTGAAGACTCCAATCGGTCAGACCTTCTCCTGCCTCGGTGCCTATGCAGTCCAGTAGTTTAAAAGCTCGAGCAGGCGGCCGCCGGCCACCCCGCGGCGCAGGCGCCTAGGCGCGCTGCCGGCTGCAGGCCCCCCACGGGCTGCGGCCGCCGCCCCGCCGCTATCCGCCTAGCCAGCGCTCTTCAGCCGCCCGTGCCCAGCGTCCACGCCTGTGTCTGCGCACGCCGGAGGAAGTACACGTCGCCACCCGTGCCCAGCGTCCTCGCCTGTCTCTACCCACGCCGCAGGGAGTACACGCCGCCGCCCGCTAGGGTTTGGCTGGGAGTTTTGGATCGTGAGGGAGGAGCAGAAGCCGGCCGACCCGGAGGAGACGGGAGAGGAATGCGATACTAGCGACAAGGAGAGAAATATTGGGCTATTGGGCCTTGTTGGGCCATCGGATAGGGAGGGAGAGAGAGTAGAGATAGGCCTTTTGGACGGAATTCTTGAGTACCCAGTCGTGTTTGTGTCATTTTCTTTTTTCTTTTTTTAATACAAGTACGTGGTATATGTACCTGCCATATATATAGAATTTTTTTTAAAAAAAATCTCTCCATTCCAAATTATAAGATGTTTTGACTTTTCTAGATACATAATTTTTGCTATGTACCTAGATATACATTATAAGTAGCGTTATTTCAAGTTGTTCGAGCACCGGTGGCCTCCTCATGAAACATTGTTCATTTAAATTTTCTCTCTCACAAAACCAATTTTTTCAAGCCAAGTTTCAGATATATACAGGGCCTATGTCTGGATACTAGGAAAAGCAATGTTTCTATTAAAGTTAAAACGTCTTATAATTTGAAATGGAGGGGATAATAGATTATTTAACTAAAATACCCTTGAACTAAATTGTCCCATCCTTGTCTGTCTCTATGGGCGATACAAGTTTGGGACTTAGGTCGACACAATCCTCACGCAAGTCAGCCGAGCCTAGGGTGACGACGATTGGTGCCACTCAGCTAATTTTTTGAGAGAACAGATCAAAGAAAGGCTGAATGAAGCTGAGGGTAGCGATTTAGGTTGCCGCCGCAAGAGGAGGTTGACAGGGAACATAGTTGTTTGATCTTTCGTTAGGTACAATAGACTATGCCCTCACTAGTTTTCACGATTCCCGTTGACTACTATCGGATTGTGATGTGGGATCAGCACCATTGGAAAGCTTGTCTTCTTTGCTTTTCTGTACATATGTAGAACATTAAACACGGAGTCCGTGTGCGGTTGGGGCATTGATTTTATTGTAGACTGCTCCTGAAGTCCGAGATGGACTCGAATTTGATATGGATTGGGTCTCCAACTTGGCTTGGATGACCATGTTGGGTCTTCTTCACCTCTATGCCTCCCTCCAAGTACTTCCATTACCTCTCTATAGTTCTTAAAAATAATAATATCATTAGATAGCAATCTATTATTATAATCACGAAATGGAGTACTTAGGAACGAGCTCACTTGGAGAGTAAATTGTTGTGCTGGAGTTCTAGTGATCGACCCTTCTTGAAGAATGATGTGTGTATCTAAAGGAGTGATGTCCTTACTAGAGCTAGGGAGAGGTGGAGGAGATGGTACCACATGGATCGGTACTGCACCCAATTCCTTGTTTTGGGCAAGTTGTGAATTGTGAACAAGAATTTCTTGCTCACTGGTCTTATATCTCCAGGTAGGGGTCTTCTGTTGGTTGGTTGTAATTAACAAGAAATTTAGTTGGCTTGAGTTGGAATTTCCAGTGCGGAAGGCGCACCTGGTCTATGGAGCGTGTGCCCGAGAAATTTCAAGCCACCGCCTGGAATTTCCAGTTCGGGTGTCCAACCCACGCCAACGGTTGGGAGAGGAGCGTCTGCGCGAGAAATTCCAAGCCATTTCCTAGATATTCCAGTGCGGGAATGGGAGCCTCAACAGCAACGGTTGAGAGGGGGAGGCAGGCTAGAGGATAAGGCTGGCTCCTCCCCTCTGAAAGGTCCCTGTGTGGTTTTGGTAATTGAGTGACAACCTAAGTGGACTAATTGTGTTTACGTGGGATACACGGGTGATTAGTCCACAGGTATATGTGTGTGAGCAACATATGCCATGAAGGTGGAAATGGCTCGTAGATGTTGCAAGCTCACACATGTGATGATGAAGGAGCTCATTGTCACATGAGACATGACATTGAGTCATGTGATCAAGGTGGAGAAGATCAAGACAAGACTTGGCTTGATGGACCGGTTGCAAGAGTGAAGGGCAAGTCAGAGGCTTTGGAGCGATGGACCGCGTGGCGGTGAAGCTTGAGCAAGACTTGGCGCCGATGGACAAAGGCAACGGTGAAAAGCAAGTGAAGTCAAGATCGATGAACCAATATGATCGCGTGATGATATGAAGTGGATCATATCATTGTTGATCGTGTTGGTGCATGTGTTGCATCGACATTTGAGGAGATGGAATGGAATGCGCAAGGCAAAGGTATAACCTAGGGCATTTCATTTCACCGGTCATAGGTGAGTAAAGAAGTTAATGACCGGGTTTAGGATAGATGGTCGTACTATCAAGAGGGGTAAACTTGTTTGTATATCGGTCATCTAGTGCCACTTGAGTGATCTAACTTTGTATCGTCGCTAGGATCGAGTGGCGTGACAAGTTGAGTGGCTAATCCATTGGAAAATGATTGTGAAAATGCTAACACACATACATATAGTGGTGTACACTTGGTGGTGTTGGCACATTTACAAAGGAGAAGAAGTTGGAGTTGATGTGGATCAACTCGATAAAGAAAAGGGTTTGAAACTTCACCGGCGGAGTGCGGACAGTCCGACGGTGCCACCGGCACCCTGTACAGAAAAGATAGGGTTTCACAGAGTGCATCAGATGCTGGTCTTGCAGTGATCGGACGCTGGGGTCCTACATCTGGTCAGTGGCGCGCAGTGAAGGCCACCCTCGGTCTCTTGACCAGACACAGGCGACCAGACTCTAGCTGAACACTATTCAGTGTCCGATCGTGCCGATGTGGTGGCGCACAAAGGAGACAGTGAGTGACCGGACGCTGGGTGAGTCCGGTAGGGCATAACCGGACGCGTCCGGTCGTGAGTGGAACCTTACTGGAAGTGACCGGACGCTGGTGTCCTACGTCCGGTCGTGGATGAAACCTCTCTGGAAACGACCAGACTCGGTAGAGGTGCGTCCGGTCTTGGCACTATGCTGCGTCCGGCCATTACTTGACCATTGAGATCAAGTAACTGAGGTTGAACGGAGGCGACGTGTGGCGTGCATCCATTGACCGGACGCTGGCAGGGTGCGTCCGGTCAATCTGACCGAAGCGTCCGGTCACCCCGAGCTGTGCCCAGTGAAGGGGTATAACAGCTCTATTTTCATGGGGGCTATAAATAGAAGGGGTCTCGGCCTTGGGCTTGTTGCTAAGCACACTAGAGCCTTAGTGGTTTGTGTGGTAGTGCTTGGGAGCCCTCCATCTCACATATGCTTGATAGCGATCATTCGATTGTGTGAGAGAGCGATTCTAGTGTGATTGCATCGTGAGGTTGCATCGAGTGGCACTAGGTGGTCGTCTTGCAAGCCGGTGGTGCTTGTTACTCTTGGAGGTTGCCACCTCCTAGACGGCTTGGTGGCGGTCTCCGTCGAAGCCCACAAGAAGCTTGTGCGGTGCTCCGGAGAAGAGCTTTCTGAGGGGCATTGTGCTCACCCCGCGGGAGTCACGAAGAGCAACTCTAGTAAAGCGTGTCATTGAGCTATCCTCACTTCCAGGGTAGGTTCTTGCAGTGCCCGACGTGCGGGCTTGGCGAGTGATGCCAATTAGCCACAGAACCACCAAGTGAGCGGTCGACACAACGGGGGCTAGCGTGTTGGCAAGCACGGGAACCTCGGGAGAAAAATCACCGTGTCAACCTTGTTCTTCCCGTTGGTTTGCAATCCCCTTACACAAGCTTGTAATTACTTTTATATACATTGTGCTTGTGTAGTTGCTCTTGTGATTAGTTAGCTTGTGTAGCTCTCTAGTTACCTTCTTGCTTGTGTAGCATAGAAGTAGCATTGTTGCGTGACTAATTCAGTTTGAGTAACCTTGTTAGTCACATTGCTTAGTTTATGTAGCTAAGTAATTTGCGCTCTCTAATTTGACATTGGTTGCCTTGTTATTGAGCATTGCGAGTGAGCTTAGGAGTTTTGTGCTTTTGCTTACTAGAATTGTGGAGGAGCTCCCCGGTGTGTAAAGTACTAGTGGTATGGGTTTGTGTGACCTTACTTCTAGAATTGGTTAGGTGAGCTCTAGCTAGCTCGGCACCTTAATTGCTTAATTAGAATCTTTGCAAGGTGCTAGAGAATATAGAT